TATAGCGTAGTTTATACGGATTATTCCCAAAAAATATATACGTATTTTGGAAATGTTGAGTCGGATTAGTCTAGAATCGATTAATTTTATGGAAGAAAATCTTTCAAACAGCCGTAGTCCGTAAACTTGACACGTGTCGGGTTGTGATTGGAAGGATTCGTAAGAAATCGGATTCCTAGAGAATGGAACGTATCTCTATCTTATAGGGGGGGTCAACTGTAGTATAAAACAAGCATCTTCAACCTTCTTCCGATAAAGGCCGAGAGCCATAAAAGACAACTCTGGAAGCCCAGTACGAAAGATATATATCTTTCATACCTGGCTTCCAGATATTTGGAAATAAGAAAATCTTAGACTAACAATGGACTTAAATTAATGTAAAAAAATTATGCGAGGTTCTCCGTGTCTGCAGTATGTTGCTGATTTCTCGAAATCAGAGTACCTGGAGACGAAAAATAAATCGCCATTCAGTGAAGTTCAAAAGAAACAAAAGTTTTCCTGGGAAAAGAACATTCTCACCGGTCTCTCCAACAATGGGGAAATACTTGTTAGTGACGAGTTGACCTTCTTAACTGCAACCAATTCTGGATCAGTCTACATCAGAAAACACCCAAGAGAGCTCTGTACAATAAAGTACTCAATGTTGGTAACAGAGTGGTTGGGTACAGTTGTGCAGATGGCAGCAGGAGGCATTGTTCAAAGGATGACAAATGACCCAAAAAGAAAATGCAATTAAGTGCCAAGATTTGTTTCCAGATGGAGATGTCATCTTTATGAATGACAATGCTCCTTGCCATTGGTCAAAACTCGTGAAACAGTCGCTCTGGACAGTATTAACGACTGGATTGGATGGCATGGGGGCAAAAAGCGTCCACAAAAATATCCCACCAACAAAAGGAAATTGATGGAAACCATCTTTTTAGTGCTTGGCATTGTACGATTTTGGTTGAACTACTCAAAAAACTTGTTAACCTGTCTGGCCCTTTCTGGCATGGAGTAATTAAGAACAAAGATTTTTACAATTATTTATATCAAATTGGCCAGTACGTAAAAGTGATTAAAAATGACTGTAAGGAGCACCGACCATAAAATAAAAATGTTTTTGTTTACTGTTGTGGTTTAATATTATAATAAATTTTTAAATTTCAAGTAATTATTGCCAAAATTTAAATCCAATTGTAGTTTGAAAAACTGATAAAACCTTCAAAATTTAGCATGGTGTGAGAGTTTTGAACAGTACTATAAATCTAATTAACTAAACCAAACTACATCGTATGATTACGGCCAATAATTAGTTAATTAGACAGGATTACAAAATACTTTTGATAATAGTGTATATAAAACTCATAAGAAAAGATACTTACTCTTCTTTAACAACCGGCATCCATTTTCCGTACGGTTCTGGCTTCGACTGCGGTCCGACAATACTAAGATCCGAATAACAATTTGAAGTCGTAGCAATATTCTGAAAATTACGACATTATAATGATTATTTACAGAAAAATTTTAGCGCGTCTTAGCAAAATTATACCTCGTATTCACACTTACGTGTGTTTCGTCCTCAGGTGGTAGTGGAATAAATTTTTTTGGCGTTTTCCATTGAGATTCTATAATTAATTAATTATATCAATGAAAAACTTTTAAAGCACAAAATATACATTTCAAATAATTCATACTAAAACTTTTCAAAGTAAAAAACGAAAAATAATGAAAATTTCCAGAAGAACACATTGAAAGAATTATTGACAAGTTTAAAAATCTTAGTTTATTGTTAATTACAATAATAATAAGCCAAACAATTGCCGTAATAATTTGAGATATGTTACGGTACTATTAATAATTAAATTGTGAGTAATATGGTGCTAGGTACCATCTCTCATTCAATTTAATAAAGAGATGGTATTTAATGCCCACCTCTAGTACCAAATTACTCAGAATTTAATTATTAAGTATTATCTTGAAGAACTCAACTTCTAGTGTACTATCTTAGATGCAGTTTTTTTGCATTTTTTGCGGGAAATCGAACAATTTTTAGATCCATCTAAAAATTCTCTAATTAGCCGTGGAAGAGGGAGAACCTAATTCTTGCACCCAGTGAAAATGGGTAAGATTGGCTATATAAGTATAAAGGTTATCTTACGTAAGGGTTTATTACACTGAATGACCAATCTAACACATTTTAAAAATGTGTTAGATTGGGCACTCGGTGTGATAAACTCTTACTTAAGATAACCTTTGTAAATATAAATCAAATACTGTAATATATAGTAGAAGGGTTAGAAGTATGAACTAATCTAATAATCTTAATCTTTGCTGTTGTTATTTTCCTCCCAAGCAACACCGGGCTCATCTGCTAGTAATTATATAAAAGCAGGCTTAAAACAGTACCCTGTAGTAAGTTTCTATTTATTTTGATGTTGTGTTGTGTGAAGGTGGAAATTTACAAAAATATTTGGCATTTTATGAAAAATAGTGTTTATCTAAACAATTTTAACATGGTTTTTTTTGGTACTGCTTTGAAAATCATCATTAAGTCGGACCCTACACAAGATATAACATATTACCCCCTTTCTCTCCCTACCCACTCGACCTTTAACCACCGAAATTTAATAGCAGTAATCCCCCTAATACACAAACCCCCATGTGAAACTTCAGAAATTTTCGATAAAAAACAGGAGTTATTAAGCTTCAAAGAGGGTGAACAAAATCATGCTCCCCCCACACAAACTCACTAACATCGATACATACAGAAAAACCCCCAAATTTTTTTGCATTTCTCAATGTTTCAAGGTCCAAGTCCAAACATTGTATTCATGTAAAAGTGGGAAGAAAAAGTCTGATGAATTTTAAACAAAATAATTTCTGTGCATGCACCAACTCAGGAGAGGAGAGACAAATATGAGAGAAAGTTCAACAGATCAAACTTTTGAGGATGAAAGAAACTGGTTCGTATCTTGTTCATTATGTACGAGAAGCAGTTTCCCTCTTCTGCATAAATTGCATCACAAGTGCAAATTCTGATCTCAATGGTTCTGTTTTGCCTGTTTTTTCCTCTTTCACATCTGCATAAATGCAGCTGTAAATATTATTTATCTGTTTTTTATATCTTTTAAATTTATTGTCTGTTCATAAAAATTTAAATAAAATATAAAGTTGTTTACGTTGTTTTCAAAACCGTGTTTTGTGAATATATTGGACTTCAAACTCACATTTGAGTTATAAATAAACACTTGGCCTTATTTCCATCATTTTAGTTGACTGCAAGGTCTCTTACGAGAAGCGGACAGCGTACACGCCTTGACGCTGTCCTGATGCTCCTCCGTCTAGGAGCCTCTTCACTGAGACGGTCGGCCCGTGAGGACCGACACTATCGTCAGGGCTAATGACGCCTTTCGACACAAAGGACTTTGCGTCGAAAGTCTAAAGCCAAGTGTTTATTTATAACTCAAATGTGAGTTTGAAGTCTAAAATAAAGATTATTATTAGAAAAAATCATATAAAAACACTTAAAATTTACTCACTTCCAGTTTCAAGATTCCAATAGTAAGTATGACCTTCTGGCGATCTGGCTTCGTACCAAGTTTTTGGCTTTAATGGTTTAGGGGGCGTAGGAGGTCTCTGCACTTCGTTTTGTTTTGCCACGGCTTTCCTAGCCAATTCTTTTGTATATTCGTCATGTAACGAAGGATCTTTTTCTACATCTTTTTGGAAAGCTTTCAATGCTGCCTAAGTTTATAA